GTAGTGGTGGAGTCAAATAAGCAAGTATTTTTACTTGTATTTTCACTTTTTGTTACGTCCGCGTGAGTATGTGCATGTATTCATTTTCCCTTTCAGATCCAGTTCCGCAAGTCTGCCGATCCAGTTCCACGTTTTCCACTTCTCACCATGAAAGCAGTGCCAAAACTGGATGAACTGGTTGTCATCACCTCGTTCCCGTTTCCCGACTCCCCAGTCATGGACTATAAAAGACGCCTCACCCCCCCCCCCATCTGATAGCCTTTGGCTCGTGCTCTCTGTCTTTGCTTTGCTTTTGCTCACTGCATTTCTGACTTACTCTTACGACCCGTCTTTGGGTCAGGGAAGTGTTCGTTGATACGCGTGTAGGAAGTTCATTGGGTTTTGTTTATTGTTTTGGCCTTTGTCACTCCCGAAGTTCACGTCCCCTACCCCCATATTTACAAAATACATCCTACCTTAATTGTAGCCCATTGTGTCATTCCATTTCATTATTCTCTGCACTCTTAGCCGCTCCTCCCAATCTCACCCGACCCTACTCCGGGATGTAACAGAAATGATAAATGAATACTATTCACTTCAATCTCGATCTGTCAAAACGTTTTTTTAAAAATGACACCTTGTTCTAATGCATCTCAACTTCATTCATGAGTGGATTTGATTGTGTTATAGAGATTCTCACAAAAAGCAAGTGAGAGAAAAGAGAACCTAAAGTTGTTGAGAGACTTGCAAACTTGGGAGACAGAAAAGTTGCTTTTGGCAGATACAAACCCAGCACCCAATAAAAACTTCAACTTTAAACATGTTCTTTAGTTAAGTTGGATGTAACTGAAAAAATCACTGCATAGTGAAATTACTGCTTCCATCATTTAAGGTGCCTGAAAGCATAAACATTATAGAGATTTTATCCCATCTATTTTGCATTAGTCGTCCTTTTTTCTGAAGCAATCTAAAGTGTAAGTATGAATAAGTAGGGCAAAAGAGAGATTCTACAGCTGAATTATGTCAAGCGACTGCATTTGTACAAAAAAAAAAAAAGATTTAGAAGAAGTAGGACCCCCTCACAATGGAACCTGGCAAATGATAGGATATGGCACCAAAATATTATTAATGGTAATATCATGGAAATACATATTTTTGGTGCACTCTTTTTAAATCTCTTGCTTGGGTGGAGTCTGGGTACATGTTGGGCACAATTAATTGTTCTGCGAAAAATTTGAGTTTTTTAAGTGGCAGGTATTTTTTGCACTAGACAAACAATGTTTCCTTACTGGTGTGGTAATTCCTTTGGTGCAACCCATACAGTAATGTTCCCTTCCTGATGCAGGTATTCCTTTGGTGGAACCTGTCCAACAGTGTTCCCATATAAATGTAAGTATTCCTTTGGTGGAACCCATCCAACAATGTTTCCTTACTGGTGTGGTAATTCCTTTGGTGCAACCCGTCCAACAGTGTTCCCTTATAAATGTATGTATTCCTTTGGTAGAACCCAGCCAACAGTGTTCCCTTATAAATTTAGGTATTCCTTTGGTGGAACCCGTCCAACAGTGTTCCCTTATAAATGTATGTATTCCTTTGGTAGAACCCATCCAACAGTGTTCCCTTATAAATTTATGTATTCCTTGGTGGAACCCATCCAACAGTGTTCCCTTATAAATTTAGGTATCCCTAAATTTCATGTCATGGTTGTAAATATTTTGTCAACTGTAAAACTCCCAAAGGCAGCAATATTAACCACAGGACAAAATGGCTAAGGCTTCTAGGATCCAACTCTGAAACCAGTACAGTAACTCCAGTTTGGAATGCTGAGGGGGTAGGTTATAGACCTCAGTCTTCCACATCAAGGGTGATTGGTGAGAATTATAACAATACTTTGGCATCAATGGAAACTAAATTTCTGTGCAACATTTAATGTTTTTCTGAAATGTGTTTCCTGACAAACATTTCTTAGTTCACAGTGATTATTTGTACTCGAATTTATCTTCCACCTGTATGTGTTTTATCCTCTGTTTGTTGTTATGTTTTATGGCGGCAATATGCAAAGCAGCATCACTGAAGCCTTTAGGTCAGAGCTAAATATGCTATATTTGAATGTTGGTGCATATTGGCTGCCTTACATCCAGCTGAGTGTTTTAACAGAATAAGGATAAGTTTGCTAAATGATAAAAAAAAAAAACATTGAAGTCATGTTGGTGAGACAGAAATACAGAAGTATCAGAATAAGTGACAGTTCCCAAGCGTGAGGATAAGCTGTATATTGGGAACTCTCTGGGGATATAATTTACGGTGAATGTATTGTATGCATTTCACCGAAGTGTTTTTGCTGCTATCTGGATTCAGCTAGAAGTGTTTCCAGTGTTTATCAACTGTTAAGCACTTAATTTATTGGCTGCTTAACAGTAAACATCTGAGGAGCACTGGGAGCTTAAACAAAGGAGCTAATTGCAGTGCTGAGTTTGTCAGGCCCTATTAAGAAAGACTGGATGCCAGTCTCCATTTCATTTGCCAGGTGGCAGTTCCATGCCCAACCTGAAATTAACTAAAACGTCTGCAGCCATTACACACAAATTGCATAGCCCAGGGAACTTCAATAGCTGGATATTAATTGCTGTATTAACCATTTTAAAGCTACAACTGGGCTTCTTTTTCTTGTTTTCATTTATTTATTAAAGATTAAGAATTTAAATTATTTTTGAAGATAATACTCCGGAGGGTTAGTAGGGCTGTTGAATGCGTCCCACACGCCATGCTCTGACTAATTTCCATATGTCCCATTTAGACGTGTAGCCCTGGTGCCACCTTGTGGCTGCCAGTATTCACTTCAAGACACAATTGCTTGACAACAGAATGCAAAATGTATTTTATATTTCAAAAAAGCTAAATGGCATCTCAATAAAATACGAATTTGCATGTATTCCCAATATGCTTTTTGCATTACTTCAGCAGCATCAATTCACATCTTACATATCAAGTAAATATCCTGCATAGCAACAGATTCTGGGCCAGATCCGCCTGCATCTACTTGCAGGCGCCAGTGACATTGGGGCAGGAGAGTCTGCAGCAGAATCTGTCCAGAGTTCTGAATGATTACAGTTGGTCTGTATACACTCTGAAGGTCCGGCACGCATTCGCCTGACCATATACGTGCGATCAGTCAGTTACCAAATGTGCAGCTGATGCGCTGAGAGTCTGAGGGGCGATCGGCCCACATAGCAAGAAGAGTCTGAGCTGGATCCAGGCCAAATGTCATTCAGAAATCGCCACAGATCTGTAAACCGAATCTGGCCTGGTGTCTTTTTGCACAACAGACCAATACTGGTCCGAATCTGCTTTCTGGATTTGAAACAGATAAGGACCATATATGGGCCAGATTTACATTGAATGTTACCCAATGTGGCTCATATCTGCACCAGAGTCAAAAGCTAAAGTCAGATTCAACTTGAATGGGGACAGTGAGTGGCTCAGTGGGCTAAGTTTCCATGTCTGTGATTAGAAAGTTGCTGGTTCAAGCCCCAGCTTCAGCAGAACAGTCTATGGAGCCATGGAGAGATGACAGGGCTGTTGAAGAAAAGCAATTCTAATGTACTTAAACAAATTTGCATGTTGTCTGTCAGCTCTACCAGCTGTGGAGAGCAAGGTAAAGGGGAATGTTACAGTATAGCTGTGCTGAAGTTCTGCTCCAGCATCCTAACTTAGCACACAGACTTTAATAAACACTTTTATTTGCATAAGCACTGCTATACATCTATTCACCTACTCAGCATACCTTGAATATCAGAGCACAGGGTCAGCCAACAGCCCCAGAGCTGGGGGTTAAACACCTTGCTCAAGGGCTCACAGACACATAACCATTTCACCAGGGCTGGGGCTCAAAGCAGGGACCTCCAGCTCATGAGAACAGAGACTTAACCCACTGATCCACTCACTACCCACATACGTGAAGGCAGGACCCTGGGGCAGAAGTCTGTCTGGAAAACATGAGTCTGAGCCACATTTAACAAATAAAGATGCCTTATGTGCACAGCAACACTGGAATGTTTTTCTTCACCAAGTCCATCTTATGCTCTGTTGTGTGTGTCTGTACAGTATGTGTGTGTGTGTGGCGATTTCTGAATGACATTTGGCCCCTGGATCAAATTCATCTTTCTACATAGGATGACATTCAAATATCCATCATCCTTTGCTAGTCACTGACAATGTGTTAATTAATTACATCTATCTAATGATATCCAGGAAATAAGAGAGTTAAGTATGTCTCCTTAATAATATGAGCATTCACAACATAGGAATAGTTTAAACTTATCAATACCTCAATTGAAACTCTGATAGACCAGAAGAAATAAGCATTTTACATAGTAAACCATTTATTTTATTATACAAAATGAGTCATAGTATTGACAATGTGGAATAGTAACATTGAGATTTCAGTCTAATTTGTCTTGTAAATAATTTGGTTTACATCTTAATATTATTGGTGTAGTGAATCTAAACAAGCAAAAATGAGAAATTAAAAAATATGTCATGAAATATCATGTCGTTATTACCTGAAGACGGGAAAATAACTACACAAAATATCATTGAAATTATGTATAAATATGCCAGATATTCAAGGATAAGCCAAATATATTTAGATTTTCCACAATAAAATATTTATGTTGACAAATTCTTGAGCAAAAGCTCCTTCCCGCAATGTTTTAAATAACATTTCATTATTATTCACAATTAAATCTTTCTAATTACAGTCCACTTGAAACCAGGTTGATACCAGGACTGTGCATTTAATATTAAATAATATTTTATATTTTTTCCAGCCTTCCAGCTATCTTTCAGGCAAATTATTGTAATTCAAATCAGAGGTAGAGGAAAAGTGTGTCTGTACAATTATATGGTATTACGGTCTACTCACCTACCAGGACAGCATTACATCACTGCTGCCTTCCATTTAACTATATGGTCGATTTTTGGAAAATTTCAATTAAAAAAATAATATTCGGCTCAGAACACATGGTTTGAATGATTTATTTTCTTGCTGTAAACAACATTTTTGAGGAGGATACAGAAATCTGAAAATGACAGTAATAATGACAAACATAATGGAAAAGTATCCTGGCATTTCTCCGTGACACACAATCAGCAATATATTTCACAGCAATTTCAGCATATTCACACTTTTCGTGTACTTCTTAAAGAGACATCTTTTATTTAATTTCTCTTTTAAAAATCGTTACTTCCGATACTTGATTGCAAATTCTGGTGAGCACATTAAAGAAAACAGCATTACATCTTTGAGCGATGACAGAGAAGACAGACGTGAGAGCTCTGCAGCAGCCTAGACGCTATAGTCTGAGTGTGCAGGAAATGCCTTTGTGTTAGGAGCACACTTCAATCAGAGCTGACGCTTGTTACCATGACATCGCCATGGTGCCACAAACATGCTACCCTGAAGATTACAAAGCTCTCAGTCATGAGTTTTGATTGAAGAGCAGTGCTGTACTAAGGCTTTGATAAAAAAGCTCATGTCGTACCCATTCTACCTGAGTGTTAGGAGACATTAGCAGATGGCATGTCTGCATGCAAGGTATTTCAACCATTGCCACTACTTTGAATATAATGTATGTTTGAAATGACATATATTTTGGTATGTTGAAGCATGTAAGTTTAACTGGTTCTCTCCAAAAAATAAAATAAATTGCCAGCCCACACTTTCTTGCAACAAATTTAGCAGTCGACGTACACTGAAGCTCTCATTGGATTTGCAGCCCCCACCGAGAGCCTAGTACCCTGTCTTTCAACCGACATGCTGAACAGTCCAACTCAAGCCATATAACCCGACCTACACTTCAGAAACTTAAACCAGTGAAGGATATGGATACTTATCAACTGGAATTCTTTTTTCGTCCTACCGAATTACGAGGCCATTTTTACAGTTCATATCATCACTGTCACATAAAACTGTAAAGTTATTCCTGTCGTATAAAGCTGGAAAAGACACCTGCAATACAAATGTCAAGAGATATTTAGCAAATAAGAATCCGCCACATAAAAATCCCTGAATTTATGCTTCATTTGCACGTAATTGTGATGAATATTTAAAAATATTTTCATAATGTGGAATGTTATTCATGCACATGTCCTTACATTCATTTCCTCTATATATTTTGAAAAAATAAAATGTACTATTAAAATATACTTTATATCATTCAATACCCAAATAAATATATTTGCAACCTGACAAAAATGAACCCCCCCCCCATATATTTGTCTTTTTTTATAAAAAATATTTAAAGCTCTCACTGTGACTTCAACCAGTAATTTAAGCTGGAAGTCTTCAGCTTTAAATTCATATCTTCATGGACAGACCAGGCCATTCTCATGGGAATTTACCTCACTGACACAAGCAATTAGGTGAGCAGTGGATCAGGGGCCCTAACACAGTGTGAATTTTTATATCTCTTTGAGATAATATTCCTCACCAGACAGCCTAAGTATGCCAAACAATCCTGGAATGTCCTAGGAATTGGCACAGATCTCCAGATGTTTGGAATCACAGAGACATTAGTGATCAATTTCACAAAATTCACAAGACATATAAAGCAAGTGCTTTCAGGAAAAACAGATTACAGTGCATGACTGTCAGGAGTACAGCTTCCTCCTCCTCAGAATTTCTAACTACCTTCCAGACAAATTATGGTTGCACCATTTCTTTTCTCTAAAAGCCAGAAATTAGTTCTGACTACTTGGGCTGTCTGGCGCTGACATCATACTAGAAACAAACATTTCCGTGTGGAAGGTTCTTTTGGGCATGCTATAGGTGACACATTTATATTTTATTCCAGGCATTTCATGACACCTTGTGTCACTTTACCCAGTCTGTCACTTTCGTTTTCTTTTTCTCCATCACTGCACCATATAGCACAATCCACTCAGAAAGTGCTCAAGCAGAGAGTTTAATGAAATGTGCCGCCTAGGAGACGGTGCATTTAACTAGCACTCATAGATACAACCTGGTTTAAAAAAAAAAATCTTATTCAGTGTAATATGGGAGCAATCAGTCAGAGTATATCCTGCTACCCTCCCTGAAGGTAATAATTAACATTAAAAAGTAAAAGAGAAATCAATTCTTAATTTCAAATGTAGGCACTATATGAGCAAATACATTTTAAGGCTGGATTGTATGCCTTTTTAAAAGCAATAAGTTATTTATTCCCTTCTGTAGGAAAGAAAGGGCAGATTGCTAGAGAAATTATGTTTTTGGATTGTTTCCTGTACATGTTGTGCATTTGGCGCACGGTACCGGGGTTTGTTCTACGTCTGGACCTGATCCAGACTGAAATGAGATGCAGCCATGTGAACAGAAGCAGGAATGACCGGGAGGCTCTGCTGCAAGGCTTCAGTCTCCTTCCTCTGGCGCTCGGGCCGACGTGTGGCTTCTCCTTGGACCTCCAGCACCTTCACAGGAGTCAGGCCCTCCGTCAAGCTGCTGAGCAGCATGATGCTCCGCTTCTCAGCGCCTGCTAATTCCCTCGGGGCCCCAGTCGCCAAGGCCTCTGGCTCTGCCTTCAGAGCGTGACCAGCCATGACATCCTCCGGGGAGACCCCTGCACCATCCCTGGTCTCATTCTCCGAGGAGTTTGTGCGACGGCCCGGTGTCTGAAAGTACTTTGGGTCCAAAATGTCCTCTTTGATCTGCAGGTCCTGCATCTCACCATCTTTCAGCACTGCTGCAATCACCAGTTCAGATTGTCCACTGGCCTCTGCTACCTGCCCACTGGCGTTGAGGCTAACCAGGCGGCTGAGGCTGCTTAGAGAGGCTGACTGGGCCACAGGGCCAACCAGTTCCTCGCTAGAAGAGCACAGGGTGGTGAACAGTAGCTGTTGGGAGTGAGGGTCATCAGAGAGAACATCCACTGTGGATGCTGGGAAAGCCAGCACATCCTTGGCTGTGGGCATGTGGGAAGGCATCGGGCGCAGTATGAGCCTCTGTGTGGATGCAAGGCTCGCACCCCCATTGGCCAAAACAGCAGAGATGGGTACAGTTTGCAGGGTGACCATGCCATCGTCCTGGGAGCGCGATGTAAGCACCATGGGCACTGTGGCCTGAACAGAGCCGGGTACACTGATTGTCCTGCAAAGACAGAAAATACGTTTCCGCAATTGTGTTTCAGGAAAATGCCCGGCAACCATGTCTAATACTGGCCTTCATGACATCCCATTTGCGAATAACTGAGAGCCCCTCATTTAGTCACTTGGCTAGGATCCCAGCTTGCCCATTGCGCAACATCCCAACAGACCACTGCAAAATGAAAGTCTAGCATCATGTAAATTATTATACGCTCTGGGCAGCATGCTGGAAATGAAATTCAGCCTGAAATAGGAAAGCAATAAGCTGTAACTGGCTCTGTAGCCAATAGAACAAGGCCAGCACCTGAAAGGCAAACAGTGCATACTCTGATATAGATGTGTGCAATATCTCCTAAGAATAATGTATTTATATTTTAACTTCATTCAAAACACAATACATATAAAAATATACATTAAATATTATTCCCTATCAGGAAATTCTGTGCTGTATTCACATAATCAATAGGAGAACAAAAATATATTATGTATACAAGCTGTATGACAATATTTATATTAGAAGGAAACCTGAAGAGCCCCCATGACCCTGTGAATTAATGGGTGTGTGAAAAGGTGACATACTGTTTGTACAGTTTTTTCTTCTGCAAGTTTCATTGCTTATTAGCCCTAGAATTCCTTACATATTGTCACCAGTACAACCATTACTCTGTGATACTACAGCAAGGTCCCTTCTGCAACTAAAACCAACAAACCTCCTCTAAGTTTGAGGTTACCTGTAAGTGCTCTCACCAGCTGCACCATGTGCTGATTACAGCAAAATGAGCACAATCTGATGTAGATTCCTACACTATAAAAAATGGAAAAAACACAACAGAACAGGTACAGAACTTGCTGGAAAACAACCAAGCCAGCCATGATATTTTGTCACCCAGAAGCTTAGCAAGCACTCGTTCTCCTTACTTCGGCATTTGCACAGTGGCTGGAGCAGAAGCATCCTGGTTTGGCTGCAGCCCACGTTCTGCTCGGCAGTCTTCCTCATCCAGGTGCCTCTGGTTGGGACTCCGTTTCCTCCTTGCAGACCTCAGCAGCTTCTCTCCAGCTTTTCCTGGATCAGGCCGGGAGGCCCCATGGTTGATGGCCCTTCCATGAGATGTCACACTATTCCCTCTATGGCCTGGGACATATTCTGCTTCAAGATTTTCATCATCTTCAATGACAACCAGGTCTGTCGGCATCTCCTTGAACTGGTACACCAGTCTCTGGCCCTCGACCTTGGCGAGGATCCCTCGCTGGTAGTAGTACCTTGGAGAAAGAGAAGGATGAGTAAGTGCTATGAAAGTAGCCAGGGCACGTCAATGAATCGTTTTAACTGGATTTCACCATGCTGTGTCCCTCTCACCTGAGTGCCCTCCCCATAGTCTCATAGTTCATATCAGGTTTGTTTTTGTGTTTGCCCCACAGCCGCGACACCGCTCTGGAGTCCACTAACTTGAAGATGCCCTTCTCCCTCTGTGTCCACTTGATGTACCTGGGACAGGTATTTTTGTCTTGCAGCAGGGCCAGGAGGAATTCCCACAGGTAGACAGTGTTTCCTGGGGTAATCAAATTTCTGCATTCATTAAGAATTATACCCTCAAAAAATGTCGTGTTAAATTTATACTTTCATTATAAAAAGCACTAAAATTACCAACATTCCAGCATGTTACTACTCATCCATCCCTCTACTACCGAAATATGTAAGAGTAATATAAAGATCTAATGACATGGTGATGCATGGTGAACTGGTGTCTCTAAATTGACCATAGTGTGTGTATCTGTGTGTGTGTGTGTGGGGGGGGGGCTATCTGGATAACCTCAGTTTTATAAAAATCTGTGACTGCAATCAAAAATGTAAAAATGCCAAAAGTCTTGTATTTGGGTTGGTTACTTATGGTTAAGGTTAGGGATGGGTAGGGGTTAAGGGTGTCGTGATTGGGATTAGGATTTTTCCCATAGAAATGAATGGATGGTCCCCATTTAGATAGGTACACCAACATATGTATGTGTGTGTCTGTGTGTGTGGATTAGGTTTATATTGCATTGTGGGGATGAAATGTCCCCCCACAATGTGATAAATACCTGTTATTTTGACGTTGTGGGGACCATTTTTCAGGTCCCCACAAAGACTTGTGAATGCAATCAAAAATCTAAAAATGCTAAAAGTCTCATATTTTGTTTGGTTACTTATGGCTAAGGTCATGGCTGGGCAGGGGTTAAGGTCAACTCACAATTATGCATTGTATTACCAAAGATACAGATTCATAAATTCAGCTTACAAGAACAAATCTGGTAACAGTACAATCCAGAATAGAAAACAATTAATAATAATAATTGGAGACTGTGGGTGACACAATGGCTCAGCTGGTAGCACTGTAACCTCACACCTCCAAGGACGCGCTCAGCTCCAGCCTGCCTCTCATTCTGTGCATTTCCTCCCAGTGCTCGTACAGGTCTCCTGTCTGTGAAGTGTTTATATATAAAGAGCCAATGGAGTGCTCACCTTTGCCCTCTCTGTTTCTCTTCTTGAGCGGCAGGCTGGGGTTTATGATGGGAGAGCATGGCCGCAGCACTCTGGCTTTACGCGCTGTAAAGGAGGCGAGAGCACAGAGTCTGCTTGGAGTCACACAAAGGACACAAAGGACAGCAAAATTAGGGCACCAGGCGATGAAATGATTAAGGAGTGCGGTGTGTGACCAATGAGCTGTACACTGTAGTGCAAGGAGGCCTGTTACGATGTAGCTGCACCAGCGACTTTAATTCTTATAGCCTGAAGGGAAATTAAATGAAATGATGTGAATTATTTCAATAATGTGACTCTCAAATTTAATTACTACTTAGGTCTTCACCAGAGATAGAAAAAGATTTTAACAACAATGCCGAGTCTTCATCAAAGTTCCAAGCTATAAAATAAATCCAAGTATACCAAATGATTCCATACTGTAAGAGAAGCGATTATTCCTGACAACACATTTAAATATCTCAAAGCAGGTCCAACTCAGGCATATTTGGAGAATGTTACGTGAGATTTCTTACTGAGTTAGGGTTAGGGTTAGGGTTAGGCTTAGGGCGGCTGGCCTACAGGAGCTGCGGTCAGCGGGAAGGTCATGTTAGGGTTAGGGTTAGGCTTAGGACAGCTGGCCTACAGGAGCTGCGGTCAGCGGGAAGGTCATGTAAGGTAGTCCACTTCGTCACCAACCCAAAATGTCTACTTCACCACCTTCTATACACTGTCGCCTGCCAGCACTACGATGACTATTCATAAGTTCTTGCCACCAAACACTGTTGTTCCTTCTCTACATTCACTTGTATAAGTTTCTGCCAGACTGCAGGGCGTCTGTTCGGAGTGGATGTTTGGGTGGAATGGACCAGTCTCTGTGGGACTATAAAGATGGGACTGGATGGATTTTAAATTGTGCCTGACTATTGACTATTGACTTTTGACTACGGTGTAGGCAATGTGCACCCAGTACTAGCACTTGCTGTAGTACAAATTTTGGCCCAAATGGGCTTGACCTACAGTGGTATTCGCTTGATAAAGGAGATCCTAAATATATTAAAATCCAGAAATTCCTGACAGGCTATAATACTTCAACAGTGCTGTTGTATAAGTTGGTGATAAACCACAAATTACATCATTAAAATTGAGTTTATTAATTATAGACCTTTTACTAAACTTGAATAGGTTTTTATAATTTTATAATTCCATCTACAAAACTACTACTATAAATTACTTTGATACTTTGATTTATGACAAACCTACATTGTATTATACTGCAAATAATATTTGATTGATTGATACCCTGGTTATAAATTGTTGCCTGAAATCATTGAACAGATGGTCAAAACACAATACATATAAAAATATACATTAAATATTGCCAACAGACCTGGTTGTCATTGAAGTCAGCTAAACTAAAGAAATTAGCCAAAAATCTGTGAATATGAACAAAAGCAGAGGCAGGGGAAGAGCCAATTAATACCTTTGCTTTTCCGTTGTTGTTTGGAAATATTCTTCTGTGGTACTTCATCCAAGAACTCTTCATCTACACCCTTAGTGCATAGATGTTCTGATTGCAATGTGATGTAACCAAGTTCAGAATCCATCCCAGAGACGAAAGAATGAACTAGGAAACAAACAAAAGTGACGTCATCAACAGGTAAGGTGAAGCTTAAAACATCTAGAACAATCTAGAACTGGTAAGCATCGGGAATGTTGTGTTGTCCACTATCATTAACAAAACACCAAATCATTTTCTCATGGAGGAATGCCATTGCATCTCTCTTGTAGATATACAGACACTGGTATAATCAGCGTCAGGATGCAGTCCCTGAACAATTTGAACTGAGGGCCCTGGTCAGCTTGTCGAGGCACACACCATTGCAAACATCAAAAGAGAATAAGATTACCATTAAAAAACGTACTTAGACGCTTTTCATCCAAAATGTTGTTAGGTGGCTCCATATTTAGTAGAGTTTCTGCAGCCTCCATGTTCCCTCCAGTGTCAGCACATGCATCTTCTGCATCATAAAACCATGGAGAAGTTACTTAGAAGCTTTCAAAACAGAAAGACCACATTCTTTGGAAATGATCTGTAATCGGCCCTTTACCTGACAGTCCGAGGTCACCTTTCACCATCTGCTCCTCTGCGGCACCCAGAGAACTTTCAGCCATGATGTTACTGGGCACCTCGTCTGATTCCAGGCCTGAGTAGACCTGCATTGGGTCGGCTGTCGGCACTGGCTCCACAATGACTGCTGGGAATATGGATGGGTCATCCAGCTGAAAACAAGGGAACAAACATAGAGCTATACTCATAAGGATGATGTGCTGTTCAAAATTGACACTACATCATAGAACGAAAATGACAGTAAAAGAAGGCAAATACAGGCTTACGTATAGCTTATACGTAAACAAAACAATGAAATAAATCACAGAAGATCAGAATGAATAATCAAGAACAACAAGTATGTAAGCAGAAAGTGCCAACCTAAAATATACATTTTTCGTCGTTTTAAATTCTCCACAAAATAATGGTGGTAATTCTTGTAATGGCCAGAAGATGGGAGCAGACTCTAAGATGTGACAACTCCCATAGGCTTAAGGTTAATGCTTAAAAATCATGATTGCTGACTGGATTCTTTTAAGACACTAACCGCAAGAGGTATTTATAATTTTCAGAATCTGTAATGGTTCAATATAATGACACAAATAGTCAGAACAAAAATTTGGTCTGTGTGCTTAAAAAAATCTAGTCTGCGTGTGTGTACTCTAAGTAACACCATTAAAACTGTTTACTAAACACATCCATTTGCCATCAAGCCGGAAATGTGTTGAGTTACTATTTTTCCATCTGTAGTCTGTTTTTTATAAAACGATGTTCAAAAATTTATACTCAAAAATATTCATAGGATCTTTTCCGGTTGCTAGATTTATCACTTACTTTGCATTGTGACTATTAAAAAAAAAAAAAACTACAATGAACAGGACTGCTGGACACCCCCTCGAATATCAAACATGAGCAGAACAAGGTGAGCGATTTCATCACAACACAAGAAGTTTTGGTAGGTATTACTAATTCCCCCGACCTTTTATGTCTCAACAGGTTAGTCAGGTCAGACCTGTAATAACGTTACTGAGGTAACCGGAGAGAATGCATTTAGAAAATTAACTTGTCCAGCCTGAATTAGCTTCACAAGATACCACAAGAAGTCCAGTCAACTGTCTTTACAGTATGAACGATACATTCAAAGTCATTGCTGTTCTTAACCACATAAAGCCACAGAAAATGAGCAGAGGACACCATAACCATTAACCTTCTTATGATAACTATCCCATGGGCAGAAATTATGCGGGTGGGGTGGGGTAATCAATATTCAGAATCGGCCTATTGTCATACTGAATGGGTGGGACCTCAATGTTCAATCCAAAGTTGCGCCCTTGGAATATCCCCTACCTCTCTGTGTCTTACAAAACGGAATATGTATCTATCTAAGCCGTGGCAGTACACCCAAGACGTGGTAGTACACCCAAGCCGTGGCAGTACACCCAAGACGTGGTAGTACACCAAAGCCGTGGCAGTACACCCAAGCCGTGGCAGTATACCAAAGCCGTGGCAGTACACCCAAGCCGTGGTAGTACACCCAAGATGTGGCAGTATACCCAAGCTGTGGTAGTACACCCAAGCCGTGGCAGTACACCCAAGATGTGGCAGTATACCCAAGCCGTGGCAGTATACCAAAGCCGTGGCAGTACACCCAAGCCGTGGCAGTACACCCAAGCCATGGCAGTATACCAAAGCCGTGGCAGTACACCCAAGCCGTGGCAGTACACCCAAGACGTGGTAGTACACCCAAACTTTTCTAATGGCTGGGTTATGCTCACACTATCAAAAGAAATCTTACTACAATTTGAAAAAAAAATAAGCTTATGCATCTGGTACCTCGTTCATGTCGTCTATCCCACTGGTGACAAACTGGAAGACCAGTTCATTTTGTTGGGGCATAATTTTCATGACGACTAGGTCAGGGAGAGTTCCTCCCTTCACTAACCCGCCACAGCACAGGAACTGTCAAAAATAAAATTCTGCGGTAACTTTGCAGTTTCACAAAACCAGTTGAGGCCGGAAAGAGCAAAGTATTTTATGGCAATGCTAGAGAATTCAATGGCGCCAAACTTCTTTCTCCTCTGAAGACAGGGACTCATGCGAACCTGTCAGAAAAGAGAGAGACAATGTATTAGGAACTGTCAAAATTAAAGGCAATACTTCTGTATAACTTCTGTTATATATAGCTTGACAAAAATAATATTGCTCTGTTAAATTTTTTAAAAAGAAAAAGTAATTGAAAATGACATAAGATTAAATATCATCCCTCCATAAATGTTACTGTAAAAAGTTTGTAATTAATAGAGTGCACGAAAAACATTATCTATCCAGCATCTAACTGTTAGCCCAGTACAGGGTTCTGTAGAGCCCTGATGCCTCACCAAGAAGCACAGGATAAGGGAAAAGCCCAGACGGAGTGCACACACACATGCACGCGCACACATACACACACATGCACACACATGCACGCGCACACGCACACACAGGTTTATAATTATATCTTTGTGTGGACTCTCCATTCATTTCTATGGGAAAATCTCTAATTCCAACATGACAACCATAACCCCTACCCAGGACTAACCGTTCACAGATCTTTTTGGGGACCTGAAAAATGTCCCCACAACATCAAATAAATAAAAAAACACAGTCCATACACTCTATTAGCATGAGCACTCTCCATTCATTTCGATGGGCATAACCCTAATCATAACTGTTAGGGCTGGGCGATACATACATAGGAAGCACACTTGTAATTGAAAGATTGCAGGTTTGAATCCCGACCAGCAAGGCACCACTGAGGTGCCCTGAACAAGGTACCGCCCCCAAGCACTGCTCCCCGGGCACTGAATTAGCTGCCCCCTGCTATGTCACGAAAAGTGACATATGGGTTAAATGCAGAGGACACATTTCATTGTTGCGCATTGTGCGCTGTGGTGTGTTGACAATAACCACTGATCACCAAATTCTAAATTCTAATTCTAAATTCTACATTAAAATGTCATATTTTGAATATGAATATTCATAATTTCATAATTTTTTATTTCTTGAGTATCGTGATATTGCCTAAACACGATTTCTTGCATAATTAACAGTTCAGTTATGATGCAATATTTTTTAACCATTATTAACCAAAAAATGCATTTAGTCTATTTTAGTTTTTTAATTGCATTCACATATGAAATGTTATAACAATGTGCCTTTGTGAAATAAACTATTAATCCTCACAAGGTTTGCTATTTTCAATCTGAAGGGGGGGTGGATTGCATCCAATATTGGTTCAAAAGGGGCCATAACATTTTAATATTAATTACGGAAACATTTTGGGTGAATGGGTGGTAATGGTAATTCTCACATTTCTTAAAAGACTTCATCGTTCAACTGCACTGCAATGTTCCTTTTCCACGATAAAAGAAAAAAGAATATTTTCGCTCATTCACTTAGAGTATATCAATGCCTTGTCCACAAAGCAAGATGGAATCCTACTGAACAACTGTGTTTATGTTGCTTGAGTTTATGTTGATGGCTGAACTCTACTCTGAAGAATTAAATATGTATCAATCATCTTTGTGTCAAGAACACACAAGAGCCTAACCGGAATGACTTGGTAAATCATGCTTCCCTGGGGGTGGGGGGTGGGGGGGTTAAAATGCGTTATTCCATAACCATCCAATCAACTCTAAACAGAAGGTGAAGAGAAATACATTGAAGTATTCCTGCTTCAGGTTTTACTTTCCTTATACCTCCACTTAAGTTCCTTATACCTTTGGGGTGGTCATAACCCACCCCAATAATCGAGACCAGCCAATGCATGCTCCTGGACCCCCCTAGATGGGTCCATTGATCATCAGGTATTCTTGTATATGTGTGTATATATATATATATATATATATACACACACACACACACACACACACTTTTAATATGGAGCATGAGAAGTCATGAAAGATGTCCAAACAAAACAGAAGGAAAAAGTCTCACTTTACACAAAGAGTAGAAAGCGTCTGGCCCCACACCCCCAGAATTCCCTCCCCAGGCATGCTAACCATGCACCGCTCAGAACCACGCAGGACAGTGGAGTTGTGGCCATCTACTGGTATCAGATGAGTCTGTTGCTGAGCTACATTTACATGGCTGATGTTTGCCCCCCCCCCCCTTTTTTTAGCACCGAAAGCAAACAAACAAATAATTTGACATTACAGCCACCCCTATGAATGGATGTGGTAACTGTCCTCTCTTTCAAGGTGTTGCATGAATCATCAGTACTGACTACATGGATGAAATGAGTGTTATAGGTCACCAATTTGCAAAGAAGGTGTGGAACATGAACGGCTTTAGTGACGTTTTTGGTGGCAATCCCTGTAAACACATGACAACCAAATACAACTAGCAGGGGTCAACGGAAACACAGACAGCTGCCCTGTGGTATAATGTGCTGGAGAAAAACAGCAGAAACAGCACAATGAGGAACAGCCCAATCGCATTACCCACAGTGACCTGCTGCTACACTGAGGCCTGCCTGACAGTTGCACACTTTGTTAGTAGATAATCTGGACTTGTGCGTTCCAGTGCCAGCTAAAGAAACATACCAGCTATCATACTACAGTCCAGCATGTCAGAAGAAATCTTATTCATTCAGCAGAAACCAAGCTCTTCCACAGCTCATCCTTCGGCAAAAATAAGTCCACTGAGGCAGTAGACCTTAGTAGATCTTAACTGCTTAAAGGAACCTGAGCTACATCTACGTTTGTAAAATAATTCTTTGTAAACAACACAAAGCAGGCGCCCTTTGCCATACTCGCTAAAAAGAGGAACAGAAACATGAAAGGAGGCCCTGGAAAGATGCCAGAAATGCGGCGGGAAACTGACCTGTGAGTCTTGCAAGTACAGGAAACGCATCACTGAGGCTGAGCTACTTCCTGACTGTTAGACCACAGTCAGAATTGCTCCTTTCTTTTAGAGTAAGGGCGCATACTCTGCCCTCTCTTAGTTTCATTCAAATATTTAACTCCTGCTTTACCGAATTCCAATGACCAGTAATATTCTGCATTTTACCTAAAGATGATGCTCATCATTGATTATAATAATTTTATTAGTGTGAACTTGCTTTAACTAGAGAAATGGTGTTCATTAATTCTGAAACTCTAACCATAATGTATTTACAAAAAGCTCATATTGAAATGTCATACAAAATATATTTTTCTGAGAGATTTTGCCTCATTATCCATTTTCGGTACATAAAATCGAGTCCAAAACGCAAAATGTTATTTATAAGTGAAAAGTCTTTGCAGTATGCATCATCTTTATAATATGTTAAAAAATATATGATTATGGAAATACTGCAAAATACAGACATGGAGTTGACAAAACAGACAATAAAGTCTCAGTACAGAATCCAATCCTGTTTAAAAATGTGTTTTTTCTGAAATATTTCAGAAACTTGGCTTTGAAGGATTTTTTTGTTATATTTCCTTCCGTGAAAATAGCCGCCACAAGGCCAGACTAGACAACAGAAACATTTTGCTCTAAATACTTTTCTAGCGATGTTTTAGTATCTTATACAAAGCACTGAGCCAAGGAAAAGAAAAGTATCATGTTTATAATCATTTAGCGTGCTGAAAAGGCCAATAGCATTTTAAAGTGAATTCACACTTTTTATACGTGCCATAAGGTCACTCTAGCTTATGCTGATAAACAGAGCGAGAAAAGACTCAGGCGCTGTAGATAAATACTAATAAACTTTTCGACCACAGGAAGTGACTGGCCCTGCACATAAAAGCAGAGTTAGCAGACTTTATTTGAAAGATTTCAAATAAACTTTACTTTTCCCAGTAAAAGAACCCCATCTCAATAAAAAAAACAAACCTTGCTACATTGTACAGGCTTTTTCCTAATATTTTCCTTGATTTAATTTCTTTCTCATCATTGTCTGATACAAACAATAATACAATTAAGCAAAAGTAAAACCAGTAATTATCACTTATTAGAGAATATTACCCTTCCAGCCATACAGGTGATATCCCTCCCACCCAGGGCGATATCCCTCCCTTACAGGGTGATATCCCTCCCATCAAGGGCGATATCCATACTTTACAGGTTGATTTCCCTCCCATCCAGGGTGATATCCATACTTTACAGGCTGATATCCCTCCCATACAGGAAGATATCCTTCCCATCCAGGGTGATATCCATACTTTACATATCCATACTTTACATACATTTGATATGGAAAAATGGAACTGCATTTTACTTTAATTGTGTATCAAATACATATAGACCTCATAGACATGATATGGCATTTTTAAATAAGCCTGTTAAGTAGGGGTGTAAAGATACATCGATGCAGTGTGATATCTGCATCAGTCCAATGATGTCATGCCACCTTTCTGTGCTGGCAGCCCTCCCTCCTCCCAAACCCTCCTCTCCGTTTGTGTTTTTCTGTACAATTCAGTCGTTGGCCTTTACCAGTTTACACTGGTCTGCTCTCCCTGTTTATTAATAACAATAAAAAATCATGCTCCAAGATTCTACTCTCTTTGTATTGCATTAATAGTGTGCAGTTAAGTTCCCATGTGAATGCATGCGAAGTTACGAAATGTTTGAACTTCCGTTACCAAAATAAGCAACTAATCGAACTGAACTGAATCAAGATGGAAATTAAACATTTCCGATACGTAAATAACAGATTAGATCCCCCGAGTTAAGTGTCAGGTAGCGGCACAGGTTTCTTATCTATTTCTGATTAAGATAAGGCAGCACTGTCATGCTGCAGCACGAGGCCAGAAATATACAGCAAAGTCCTCTTTTGGTGACTATTCTTGATTCATTTATTTAGCTCTTATAAAAGCATCACCTGTCATACAAGTCAGAGGCAAATTCAGAGACATTCTCCTTTATTCTCCTCACCCTTCATGTGAACTTAACACTGGATTTTAGGAGCATGCAAAATATTGTAATTCTGTCTTGTATTTGTTATGGAATTTGATTACATTATATTACTTGTATTACGCTGACTACTGCAACAAAAGTTCCAAACTCCAAAATACATGGCAGGTGTTAAATCAAGCAGGTGGTCTGCACATTGAGGCTGCCACGCAAACCACGACTT